AGGCGAGCAGCCAATGGACCGCGGGAAGCCGAGTACACACAGTAAAAGCAGTCGCCACACGGGAGAGTGGTGACGGAAAAGCCAGGCACGGTGGGCAAAATCGAGGCAATTTTTCCTGTCATCCTAAAGCAGGTGTGTGCTGTTTGATAGCATCTAGAAGAAGAAAGAACAGAAGAAACGGAGGCTGGAGGCCGACAGGAAGAAGTTGCATCCAGGGGCTCAGCCGTGAGAGGGAAGGACCATCATAAGGAAAATGGGACAGTGGGAAATGATTCAACCATTGTCCTGAGCGGAGAGATTAGGTGTCTGGGAGAGAAACTGAGGAATCCAGGTACAGTTGGTTGAATTTTTAAGGTAAAGAAATTGAATTAAGACTCTTTAGACATATAGACAAAAAAGTGAATTTGGAAGATACCAGAATGGTTAAGAATGTCAAATTTGGCAACTGAAGATCTCTAAGTAAAATAGTCAGCAATGAGACAAAAATTACTTCATAATTTTTATACTTGGATATTGGACACAGTTATTTTGCCATGTTTAGGAAAGACCTTCAGAGGTAAATGGTAATTCTCAAAGACTCAAAGCTACAGAGACTTAAGCTAAAGTTGGTTGCTCAATAGGCAAAGAGGGTTTCAGTGACAATGGCCCCTTTGTGTAGACTGGAGGGAGAGGTGAGCAGCATTTGAAAGGGCAGGAAAGATCTGCCATAGTGACAGTGACACTGGATCTTAGCAGGTGCTCCCGACATCTGAGAGTGAAGCAGGAGGAAGCCCCGCTGCCAGGGATGAGGGATGCACATGGGAACTGCTGTTCCACAGAGACACAGCAGTGATCCCCAGAGGCGCTCTCCGGCAATTAGAGTGGTACCTGGCCCCCCAAACTCTAACCAGGATAAAGCAAGGAAGAAAAAGGCCCCAGGAAGCTCATGACAATGTTCACATAGTACATCTTGACTGAAGAGAGTTAAAAGCCAGAAGTAACAAAGCCTATTATGTAACAAAGGATATTATGTCTGAAATAATGAACATATTCTGAGAAAAGGTCAATAAACATTATCTCCAAAGCAATGATCTATTTTAGTTATAGAGAATTTCAGAAACTCCTATTTTTAAAAAGTGAAAAAAACCACCAAAAAAAACCTATCTGAATTAAGATCTGCAAAAGAACTTTTAATACTTGCTATTACTTATATAATAGTCTCTGTTGCCTCCTAGTGGGAGTTACACAGAGTAACACACAGTATATATCTTTAATTTATGCAAAGTTATAAACTGAAAGCTACTAGAGCTCTATTTTCCAGGGGAAATCAAAAATTTAATTAGTATAGCTGCACAAGTTCAGAAGCACTAATTTCACTCTACACACTATGCATTAAAATAAAAATATATGATTTATACCAAAGACATTTAGAGGTCTTTAAACACAGCCATTTATAACAAATTGACAACTAATTCTGGCAGAATGTCTTTTTATCAAGCATTCTCTTGTTCAATCTTTTAATAAAATTAAGTTTCCTTTATAAATCTACAAAATTCCAATTCTCTTTACATTAAAATTTAATAGAAAGCAATTCATGTACAATAAATTTGAGCCAATATGTTATCATACAACTTTAATAAATAGATACCTCAAAGTGATGCATTTTGGAGACTTAAACTTGTTCTCCCATGAAGTAATCTTTAAGTCACAATTCTACTATGAGGCAAAAGGTCTATAATCTAAGCAAAAGCGCTACCTGAACAAAGATTTAAACTTTATAAATGGTATATAAAATAAATGTAATATATGACTTTGCTGGGTTTTCTCTGTTGAAGAGATGATAAAAACAACTTATATTAAACTAGGGTTATTTTACCATTATTATAAAATAAAAGTCAATATTCTTGAAAAAAAATACTGCCTATGAGTGGCATGCATTCTTCCAGCTGCCAAATTTTTTAATTACCACCAAAATATTTTTATTGGCTTATTTATGCTTGGATCCTCATGTCCCAAGGAAATTTAACCCAAGTATGGATGAAGAATAGTCAAAGGCAAAATGCCAGTGCAAGGGTCAAAACTGGACAAAGACTGAACGTGAACAAAGCAGCTCAGAGAACAGACACATATTGAATTTAGAAGCATACCTATGAGTAATGAGGAAAACCTGAAACTGAAACAGGCACTCGAGGAACAGAGGAATGTGCGCAGAGGTGCAGGGACGAGCACTGGCACAGCAGGACAGCATGAATTAAGTGTCCCGGGACGGAATCTAATTCTGGGCCTAATAGCCCTCTAACCTTCATTCTCTGCTCAACAGACTGAATAGAATGACAGGCTGCTTTCCCTCCAAAGACCAGTGACAAAAATTAATTACTTTAAAAATCTGTACAAGTATGAATTGCTTACATGCCTAGTGCACTGCAAGAAGGATGACAGTGATGGTGGAAAAGGGAGGATTTCAACATAATGAACACAGGTTTCAATGCACCAAAGCCAAGGGTAGAAATTTCCAAACCAACTGAAGCTGTATCTCATTATTTAATAGTTTGGGAACCAGGTTTTGACTATAGGTTTTTTTAATCCATGACTGTGGACACATCTCCTGAAGACAATTCTTTTCACTTTTCCACATTTCTTGCCCAACACACTGTTCATCTAATCTGTACCTGGCCCAAAGCAGGTATTCAATAAATTTGGATACTTTTGAATGAGTGAGTGAGTGAATAATTATTAATCTAGGCAGAGAAATAACCTGAGGTCAAATTAGAGTTCATCACCACTGTGGGACATTCTGAGATATAGGTAATGGAGGCACAAGTGAGCCAGATTACCAGCTGTGAGCATCAGTGACATCACTAAGTGTTTGCAACAGCTCTAGGTCAGTTCTGACGGAATGACCCACTTGGCAGGGTATCCAAACATTTTCATCAGAAAGTGAAGAAGTCACCGTCCCCTCCTAGGAGCACCGAAGAAAACATGGGAAGCTTCACAAGACTGAAAGTACAGTGTCGATATAAACACCTTTAGGATTTATTTTCAGAGAAAATACATAGCAGACTAAGACAACTGTTTATGTTGCTGAGGCCTATTAAATACCAGACACTCTGCTCTGGCCTGCATAAAATAAAAGATCTGTGACCTAAGAGCCTGACCCTCGAAAGCCTTGAAAGGAACACAGAAGAAAAAGGGAAAGAAGAAAGGTGGAAAGAACTCTGAAACGTAGTTATTCAGCAAGAAATCTGCGTTCAAAAGATATTAAAGAGTTGGCCAAAAAAACACACCTTCGTAAAGCAGCAGCATCGGTGGGATGTAAGTGAGCAGACCACTACTTTCCAATGAGTTAGTTATTCAGGCAGCAGTGAGGCCCAGCCACACCTAAGGAAGCAGGTGTGCTCAAGAGCACTGCAGGCACAGTGGCTGGAGGAAGCCACACGACATCTACAGCTGCCATCAAACAACCCACTTACTCCGCTGAGCATTTTGCTGACTTTCAAAGCATGGTCTAAAAACAAGGTTGGGATATCTGAAACTGGATCGTGCATATTTTGAATATCTTTCTTGTACTTCACCTATGAAAATAACATGGAACAAAATACCATCTAGAAGGAGAAAATATTATGCTTTTGCATTATTGCCATGATCATGTTTAACACATCATAAAGTACTAGTTAGCCATGAACTGACAAGTGAATTTGCACATAGCCACTAGATGGTGCTCATTTACTACTCAATGCAGTTTGAAAAGTTAATTCTAGGGACTTGAAAATATTTTGGTAATTCCTCTTTTTGTTCACATATTCAGAAAAGGGTGATGTAAACAGAATCGAGTAAATTTAACAGAAATTCTGCTTGTAAAACATAAAGAGAAATTACTACTGTATTTTTATTATGCTTTGTGGGATTTAGGGGCTTTTGGCATTTTTCATGCTATTGCCACAAAGACCTTTTTACCAACTGCTTTGGAAATATAATATCAGTAATCATAATTATAAAATATTTAAAATAGAAAATATACTGAGCACTTATTCTGTGCCAAACACTTTCCTAAACACTTTATATGTATTGAGTATTTAATCTCCATAGCAGCCCTAGTAGGTAGGTACTTTAAGTATCTCCCATTTTACAGATGAGGAAAGTGAGGCACAGGAAGATGAAGGTATAATATTAAGAGAGAGAGCAGGACTGAAATCTAGGCAATCCGATTCTAAACCTTGAGTTTTCAGCACTATGCTCCAGGTTCCTTTAAGTATATCCCAACTCTATTTGCTTTATGTTTTACCCATACAAAAAATATACATATATACTAAAAAGAAATAATTCTGATATTCCCAGTGGTCCATAAAAAACCCCAGAAATACCCATTTCAATTTCAGGTGAAAAACAAAAGTTGATTAATGAACACAAATAACAATACCTTCTACACATTAATGAAAGTAAGATATAAGTCCCAGGATATGACAGAAGCTGAAAGGTTTAAATGACCTAACAAACAACAGTTCAACAATAATTACTCTTAATGCTTGAAAGGTACTCTAAGCATCCTGCAACTAGAGCAAATTGATCAGTTTTTTCTATGTTTGTTTTTATACTCTGCCTAATTCTAATAAAAATTTAAGACATCTTTTATTGTAAATTGGAACCTGATTATTTTTAAACACATGAAATGAAAACAAATCTTGTAAAGTATCACATCATTTTCATAATGGATAAGAAGGGAACTGTAAACCATTACAGGTAGAATTTCTGAATATTTCTTTATTTTAAACTACCATGTCCCAGGTAGCACTTTATAATAAGCCTCCTTTCATGGGTTTTATTATATGAGTTAACTATTGTCACAATCATTAATTTATGATACTACACATTACATCCTGCAAAACTCTGTAATTTCTACACTTGATCAGATATAATTGTTTTATTAGCAATACTATTCCTACTTATCAACTAATTAGTAATTAGTAACCATTAATAGTAAATTACAATAATACATTTTCTCAAAAAAGCTTCAAGAAAATATGCTTCAGTGTTTTCAACTAAAATTGCTTGGAAGTTATATGATTTTGTTTAATTACAACAGAGCCAATTCTGAGAAAACAAGAATCAAAAGATATTGAAAATAATTTTCTGTGAATTACAGGTCATGAGACACTTACATCACTTGCCAGCTCCGTGGCAAGCTGACTCTGCTTAAAAGAAACACTTTCGAGGGGATTGTAATGATGTTTCTTATCCTTCATTTCATTATCAAATTTTTCTTTGTATTTAATCTGCCATAAAAGAAAAAACAAGATAAATTTAGTAGCACACTTATCTTTAAGCTTTCAAAATAACACATTTGATTTGTAATTAGATCAGATAAAAGCTACCTTAAAAACGAATGATAGCAAAGTTTAAAATTCCTGGTATTTTCACACGTATACAGTTAATTAGGCATAAATTTTTTATTACAAAAACCGCTACTTGAACATTGATCATAAATGCAATTAGGCATGAACTCAAATCCTATTAACAAGACTTATGCACTAAATTTTCAGGATTTTTAAACGTCACTTTCCATTTCTGCATTCCTATAATCTAGGATTAATTAAAAATTTAGACTATAAATGAATTAAAATTTTCCACATTTAGAAAAGAAGATCCTAAGCCCCAGAATTTGAATATTAATTTTCCTGAGGGAATTATTGCAAATACAAGACATGCTTTGTACCATGGTTTTCCTCATCATTTCCCATTTGTTCAAAAATTCATATTTAGGGGCTACACTTTCCGAAGGGTCCTGGGTCAAATTAATGTCATTTTTTGTTCCTCTGCTTTAAGTTCACAGTTGTATTCAGCAGCAAAACTATCTCTAATATTTATTCTAAAATATTTGTCTCCTTTTTTATAAGTACTCTTAGGACAACCAAAGAAAGGATTATCAGGTTATTCTGTAGAACTGTATTTTCTCCATGGATAGAGGAATATGTGAAGTATGCTATGATAACTAACTGGAAAACAGACACAAGTTCTTTACCAAAAACAAACTAACAAACAACTACTCAGGCCTCACATCCCCTTTGGCTCCTGTAGCCAGGAAAGGATGCACAGACTTCAAAAGCAGAAGTAAGCTGTTTTGTTCTCTTACAATATTTTTACAACATTATAATTCTTTTAATATTTTGTTTTCTTACAACATTCTCATAATGCACCTTTATCCATATATATTAAGGCTGTGTCTTAAGGAAGTATTTATTAAAAAGCAGTTGGGGGATGGCTATTTTAACATGTAACCCTCAGGGATACATGTTTGGAATCTATGGAAGAGAGCTAATGAAAATTTTAATGGGGATACATTTGGAAAATATTTCAAGTTGGTTTACAGTAAATATTTTCTGTTGTGGTTCCATCTGCTAATAATAACTTTCTGATATTCACATTGCCTTATAAATTCAAGCAAAACCTCATTTTTTCTAATTATTTGGTGAGGTCTCCCTAAAACAAAAAAATCTCTGATAAAAAAAATTATTTTATGGCTTGAAATCAGGGACAATATCTCCAATGGAGTGAGTTTAGGCCTCAGTCACTATTTTCCACAATAGCTGGCACCAAAGCAAAGGTTTTCCCTACCTGGCCTTCCCCTAAACACACTATTCCCCTGTCATTGCCCCCTCCACACCTCTCTGCTGGGAACTTTCAAGATATTTTAATTGGTGGTGGTGTTTCTGTCTAGCTTTTTAGTCCCTAAAGACTATTCGCTGGACAACAACAGTGGGCTCTCTGAACTGACTTCCACTTGAATGGAACTCCTGACTGGGCCAGACTCCCCAACACCCTCCACTTATTGAGTAAAATATTCTAACTTGTGGCCATAGTGCCCTGACCACTCTCAGCTGGTAGCTATTTATCTAATTAGCTGATCCTATGTAATATGGGCTTGCATCAAGTTTTCTTTTGATTATTCATAGTCTCCAACCCCAAGAACGATGGGTGTCTTAGTTATGTATCAGCTAAATGGCAAACATAGGTTGAATAATCCTTGCGCCCACAGAGCCCAGCGTCCTGTCTGTGTGCACCCTATAGTCCCAGCTGGATTAGGAGCAGAGGCAACACAGAGCGGAGTCTTACTTGAAAATTAACCTGACAAATTCTCATCTGTCATTAAACCTGGCACTCGCTCTTTCTGAGTAAAGTATATTTCTGAAAAGCAATCATCAATCCAAGTTGTAATGATTCTTTCTTCCCTCTGCTCATTGAACACTGAGCCCGTGTTGGGTTCCTACTTGAGGTGGGAACAGTGATATGACCCAGACACACTTTGTCAAGACTGGAGTTGGTCATCTCTTTCAAAAGCGAATCTGATCAAATCACACACTTAGAAAGGTTTAGAAGTAAGCTCCAGATTTCTGCTCCCGTTAGGGATGTTGTAAACTGGCTAAGAGTCAACTGAGTTTGCCCCTAATCCTGTTTATGCTAGCTATACTTATTATAATTACATAATTTAATTTAATATTGTGAACACTAGCAAATTTACTGCAAAAAGAGTGTTTTTATTTCTATGAAAACTATGTGATTTCTCTGAAAGACTTAATGAAGGCAATTCCCTGCGAAGAAATTGTTGTCAAATTAAGGGTCAAGACAACCAGAAAGTCGGGAAGGGGATATAAAGAATCTAGAAGGTTCTAGAATTCAGATAGATTAGCAATATAGCTTTTAAAAAATATCTTTCAAAATGCTAATCATAAACAATGCAATATGAGTATGGTTTGCAAGAAAAACACCACAGAATTCCAAACGGAAGATTCATTTGTGAAGCAAAAGACTTGTCACTACATCAAAAAGTTGGTGAATAAATGGACACATATGTGTTCTGTGTTAAAATAAAATGTTAAAATAGCTTTGTAATAGATTTTTTTTGTTTTAATCTTCATCTGGGGATATTTTTTCTATTGCTTTTCAGAGAGAATGGGAGGGAGAGAAAGAAAGAGAGATAGAAACATCGATGTGAAAGAGACACATCAACTGGTTGCCTCCCGCACATGCCCAGACCAGGGCCGGGGATCGAACCTGCAACCAAGGCACGTGCCCTTGGCGGGAATCGAACTGGGACCCTTCAGTGTGCAGGCTGATGCTCTAAGCACTGAGCAAGCGGGCTAGGGCTGTAATAGATTTTATGAGAACTTTATTTTTGAAGATTTCTACTACTGTTAAGCATTAGGCTACACACCTTAAAATTTGAATTTTAAAATGCTGTCTAACCTTTCCAGGTTATTTCTGTAGTGTGAAATTAATTATTTAAAGTACACCTGTCATTCATATTTTTGTAATGAATGTAATAATGAACAAAGTGTTGTGAAATTTATCTTGCTCTAACCTTCAGTGCTCTGCATGATTTGATTCCAAAGTGTCTAAGAAAGAGAAACGCAAGAATTTCCCTCATTAGTTTACCACAAAGTAAACTAACTGCATTATATTAAAAAACACATTTACCAGGCACTGTTACTCAACTATTTCTTACCTCTTTCTGTAAGGTTTGTACATAAGTGAACTAAGAAAATAGCCAAATGGTTTCGATGGTTCCTATCACTTACCTTCTGACTGGCTCACTCACAAACTACACATGTGCACCCCGCATCCTCTCCTGTTTTCAACCCCCAGTTCACACCTGTGTGTCTGCCTCTTCATGCACACTCACACCTCCTAAGGGATCAAGGCAATGCTTTCCTTTGGTTATAACTGGTGACTCAAGCATGGAGCAAAGGATCTCCAGTTTTAAGACCATTTGATTCAGAAAGAGGTGTTGGGTGACTCTGCTATGGTTTTAAGACACAATGTTACCTCTTACCTGAATCAATTATTTCACAAATAAAAGTTACTTACATCTATGTCTGATTTTATTTAAATGATGAATATCATGTCTTATGGTGCTGATGTCTACCGATTTGTTTTTAATATAGAATAGGTACTTAGGGTCAAATTCCTAAGTTTTATGAAAATTTATTTTAACAGACTTAGCAGGACTTTCAGAGGCCCACACTTGGAGAGAACACTGCAACTGTTAAACTACAATAACATAACTTAAACTAGCTCCTCAGTACTGCACCTGAACAAGGCAGCGTTTCAACAGTCCAGAGATGGACTTCTACACCCAGGAGTTCAAAGCTTTCACCACAAGGGGAGCCAGGCTTCATGAAAATACCCATGGATCAGATTCACAGAGAGCCAGAAAAGGCAGAAAAAAGCAGACCCTGAACAAAAGCTTGGCATCATGGATATAGGAAAGAAATGGAAACTTTGATAAGTATAGCTTAATTATCTATGAAAATGAATAGTAAATAAATAGCACAATGCCAAATGTCTATAGGCATCAATTCCCTGAAATTTTGGATAAAACTGAACTAAACACAGTCAAGCAAGAGAATAAAACAGATTTTTATGTAGAACTCATCATAAAATCAGTAACATTTTTAAGTCTGAATTTTAAACAAAATAATATCTTTGTCCTCATTTTCATAACAAAATAATATCTGACTTTGCACCAAATGTGAATGATCTGGAGAAATTTGTTTAATCGGCCTACATATATTTATTGAACACCTAATCTATGCCATTCCATAATGGTGGGTAAAATGAATATAAATGCTGTCCCCATAGAGCCCATCATGTGGTAAATGAAGTAGATATTTAAAACTTGCATATACATATATATGAATACTAAAAATTGCATTAAGAACCATAAAGAAAAAGAATAGAGTGATGCAATTTAAATTGGCAAATCAAGGACATGACATTTAAGCCAATACTTGGGTGTAAGAAGGTTGGTGGACAAAGTACTTGCCAGGAAGGGAGAGTGAGACATTCTCTAAGCCAATGGATACCCCTGACAATTTAAGTAAAATGCTTACCATTAGATTTTAAAAGCAATCTACAATTTGATTTTCAGGTTTCAAACACATCCTATTATATAGCAAATGCAATTTAAGAACAAATACTAATTATTATAAATACAAAAGTTCTCCTTGATATTACAAAACTAAAGGGTCCCATTCCTCATATAGAACAATTCCAGGAAATAAATTAAGATAATATATGAATATATTAACAAATTAACCGCTCTTAGAAGAATTTTTTAAGATGATGACTTTAATAGCTACCACACTTATGCTTGAGATACCCTTAAATACACCAATCTATTTATCTTAGCACATAATATTTACTTTATATTTACCAACTTTCTTTAAATTGCTTGACCATAATTTTATGTTCCTCCTAGGTTTTAAAAAAGGCAACTTTACAACTATGGGAGTAAAGCTACTGTACAAGTTAACGTAGGAAGGGCCTGGTATGTATTTCCATTACATTTTCTGAGTCCAATCCCACAGAGCTCAATTTACAGGTAAAACGGGGAATTCTGCCACTGGCCATCTCCTGTCAGGCAGGCCTCATCGCCCCACGCCAGGAGCACTGCATCATCATCACCTTCTCTCTCACAAGCCCTCTGGTGCCATCTCAGTCTTTTCTTCCTGCATCCTGCTCCCACTTTCCCTGCTTTCCTCAATCATTTCTAAAAAACTGCATTCCTAAATCATTTCCTTTCTATGTATTTATTTGCCTTTGAGTGCCCCTGTATTCACAGTCTGTCAATTTGAAAGCAAGACAATACATGATCTTTAAAGTTGTCATCGAAAATAAGAATCTACACTTTCTGCCCTTGTTTCTAGTTAATACACCTGAAAAGACAAGTGGAACAGCCTGAGTTCATTCCAGAAGCCCTATATATTCATCATCCCAGATGTCTCCTTTTCTGATGATTCTTATATGCCATGAGATCAGCAAGAATGCCATGAAAAAATCAAGATGATAAATATAACTTGCAAATTACAACTTGCTTAATATCTGATCATCCATTGCTAATGAGTCACGATTTTTTCTCTTTGTATATCTGCCTTCAAATCCATGTAGAAATCAAATGGTAAGATTTGGGGTGACTTAGTTTAAAATGTGAAAATAAAAACTCAAATACCAAAACTTTTTTGTAAGTACTCTCAAATAAGATTGTGAAGGAGGGAATTGAAGACCAGCATCTAAGAGTCAATGTCACTATTCCTGCTTTATTCTGTATGTGAATTCATGTCAAAACATGGAGTGGAAAACTATTCTGAATGTCTACTGTAAAATTATTTCTAAGAAATTATGTAGTGTTTCGATGGGCTGGGCAGCCCTTGAAGTGCTTTACTCACAGACATTCATTTAACCCTCACAACAACCCAAAAAAGTGGGTATCGCTGTCACGTCCACTTTACCTTTGAGAAACTACAGGTGGAGAAGTCAAGAATGTGCCCAAGGTCACCCAACTAGCAAGCAGCAGAACCAGGCATTCAACTCGGGCAGTTCAGAGCCATTTCTTAACCGCTCAACCAAACCATATGGCTTTTCTAGAATCTGCTGCTTCTCCTAAAAAATTGAGGGGGGAAATCTTTGCCCCCAGAAAAGGCTGAAATCATAAGAAGTCAGGTAGCTATGCTGGAAATCTAAGGCGATACCAAAAGGGTTGCCAAGTATGTGCCAATACTTGCCGCCTCTTCAACAGGTGTTACTGGGAATGAGAAGAGCTTGGCATCACAGAACTTCTGGCCCCTGATGAGAAAATCCCCATTCTCTTGGTGTAGCAATAGCCTCCTGAGTCACAAAGTTGTTTTGTAAAAGTGCCTTGAACTATAAACCAATCAATATGAAGCACACTTACATTTGGAAGTCCCTCACTTGTCCCTCTCTTGTCTCATTTTCATTTTCAGGTCTGTCACCTCTATGTGTGGATTTTCACAGTAATATCCCAGCTGGCCTCTGGGAATTTTCTCCTCTGTGAGGCCAGCCTTTCCTGCACAGTGTTGCCACATTAACCCTGTTTAAAGAGCCTTTTCTTCACAGTGCTTCTCTGCCCAAAATTTTCTGTGATAATGCATTTCTTACCTGAAAGTAGAGGCTACTTGAGAGATGACAGTTAAAATGGTGAGAGGTGGTACTGGGGACTCCTTTTCTGAATTAAACTTTAAAAAGCTCCCCATTTTTACATTCCAAATCACTTTCTTTTTTAGAATACAATACTCCTACTCCAATCTGTAAGTACAGCCTGTAGTCCAAATGTATAAAACACTGCCCATTTATCATCATACAGCATCTCAAATCCTCCCAAATTCCCATGTGTGTGTATGACCCACACCTCCTTGCTAGGTCATCTGCCTCTGGTGTCAGCCCTCTCTCCTCTGTCATGCAAGTTCCCAACCTTTATTTGGGGTCTTCCCCTGAGCACAGCCTTCTAAGTCCAACTTAGTTCAAATCTACCTCCTACACAAACCTTTCTAATTACACTGCCCTCACTGATGTCTTCTCCACACTCCCAGAACAAGATGGGTATAAATAACACTTTATGCTTACTGCATTCCCCTTTCTACAAATAAATATGAGCATTTTTCGATGTTTATTGTCTATATTTGATCTTCTGTAAACTGCCTGTTCACCTCCTTTGCTCATTTTTCTACCAGGTTGTTAGTTGTTTTCTTTTCAATATGAAAGAAATTTTGTATATTCTTGATATTAAAATGCTGTCATCATATGCACTACAAATATTTTTTTTCAAATATTTGAAGACCACTGCTCTTCTTTTTATATTTAAAAGGTTATTCTCACCCTGGCTGGTGTTGCTCAGTGGTTAGAGCATCAGTCCTCGCACCATAGGGGTCGTAAGTCCAATTACTGGTCAAGGACACATACCTGGGCTGCAGGTTCGATCCCAGCCCCAGTCAAGGTGAGTGCCAGAGGCAACCAATCAATGTGTCTCTCTCATATTGATGTTTCTCTCTCTCCCCCCACTTCCTCTCTCTAAAAATCAATGAAAAAATATCTTCAGGTGAAGATTAACAACAAAAAAGCTATCCTCAGACACTTCCTTCTCCATATAAACTCTATCTTTTTATGTTCTTCAGTTCTCTTTTATAGTTTTACTCATTTACATCTCTTCACTGTGAAATGTAATTAAGACTTTTGAAGCTTGAGGAATGGATATTTCCAAAGTTGAGGAAACTTTAAGCATATAAAACTTACTGTTTGATATCATTATTGTTGATTTTGCAAATGTTATCTTTTTCCATTGGAAGCGTTTTGAATTGTTACACGGTCGAGCATGTCTAACTATTCCTTTAGAGCTTCTGCATCTCTAGTCTTATTTAAAAACAACTTTGTTATCCCTATTTGATATATATAGTCTCCTGGGTTTTCTTTTTAAGATTTTGAAGTTATTTTATTGTTTACATTCACATAGTTAATCCATCTGGAATTCATTTTTTATATGGTTTAAGATTCAGGTCCAATTTTATTTTTACCCTGATGGATGACCAGTTATGTCAGCACCGTTTATTAACTAATCCAACTTTTTCCCACCGACTTGAACCAACACTTTTATCATATATTAAGTTTTTATACATATTGGAATCTATTTCAGGATTCTCTTTTCATCCTACTAATTATTTTATCTCTTACTATACCAACCCCATATTGATTTAATTTCAGTGGTTTTATATTATGCTATGGTAACTCATAACTTAAGTTCTCCCTCACTGGTCTTCATTTTCATACTTTTAAGGGCTATTCTCAGGCATTTCCTTTCCATTCAGACTCTAAGGCCATTGTATCCATTTTTTTAAAAAACCTGTTGGAATCTAACCAAAATTGTATGAGATTTATATATTAATATGGGAAAAATTTAAATTTTTATCTATTGAGACTTTCAATGAAAAAACATGCCATGTCTTTACACTTTTTCAGATATTGTTTTATGTTCTTCAGTAAGATTTCAAAGTTTTCTTCATTTTCATCACTTTTTTTAGTTCATGATTAAACTAAAGTATTTAAAAATGAAGAAATTAATATTTTTATTACTAAGTTAAAGTGTGTGTTTATGTAGATAGATAGGTAGACAGAAATCTAACTGCTAAATTCTAGAAATCCTGAGAGATGTGACAATGTGACAATATGACTACAGTCATCAAAAACAGTTAGGATTTGAGCTGAGAGAAAAGGAAACTTTGTTTTATGCTTAAATTGGACTTATCTTTTTCCATACTGGAATTTATAATTATTGTAATCCTATCTGAAATAGTTTCAGAAACATTATCTTTGCATATTCTTGCAATTAAAGATATTACCTAAAACGAAATATTTTCCGGTGCTGCTAGAAACAAAATCTCTGAATAAAATCATTGTGAAATCATCACTAGAGTCTTACTTGACTAGAAAGTTTAGAAGCTTCAACAGCATGTTCAAAATCCAGTCTTCCAATTACAGCAGGCTCTTTATTCATTACTCCTTGCCCTTTTTTGTATTCTGCCTAAAATGAATAAGTGAGAGAATGTTAAATATTTCTACTTTCCAATGAAAAACTACATTGACATTAACCACAAAAAAATATATATAGAAGACCCTCAGTCCATAAAATATTCCTGACAACTCACCAAATTCTAAAATGCTGACTGCTAAAACAGGAATTGATTTTATAATATGGCTATTTAAATAAACTCAACATTTTTGTAGTAAAATAATTACTAATTTTGATTCATGTACCCAATCGTCACCATTGTCTTTATGTATAAACACTGAAAAAAATCAGAAACTTCTGGGTAATTGAGACTGTGCCTTCTTTATGGCTTTGTTTAGTCCCAGGAACTGATCTAACCCTATTTGATTAACATGCATTTGAAGTTAGAAAATAATTATTGACCATTAATTTTTAAGGTGTATGTAGCCTGTTACTCAAATATTTGGTTCAAGTTAAGACATCATTTTTAACCAGGTATTAGGAATGTTCAAAAAAAGATTAATCAAGGAGGATGTCTTAGAGAAGATAAGAAACAGCTATGAAGTGCAGGAAACGTGCCAAGGTAAATGTTGGCAGAACAGAACCTGAACACTGAACAGCAACAAGATAAGATCAAGGCCAAGTGAAGTTCTTTTGGACAGAGAGAGGTAAGAGATAAAAAGGGACCAGATGACCAACAACCTTGACTTTCAAGCTGGGACATCTGAATGTTATCTTATACGCAAATAGTATTTATTGACTAAAAGTATGATAATACTAGCCATAGTCAAATCTAGTTTGGGCAGCTTCTGCATATACCCAACTTATTTACAGTGTTTAATGGACAATTCAGATTTAAAAATAGAGATGGTTCATTTCACTCATTAAATTAACCATCCAACTACCAAAGCCATACTTTTTTCTTGCAAAGATAAGAAGTCATTTCTGCTCAAGATAAGAAAGAGCGATTACATTGCTGACGATCTTGGAGATATGCGTTGCCATCTTGATGTCTGGTCTGTCGAGCTCTGCACTATACACGTGGGAGTCCTGCGTATCTTTTCTATAAGAAATCTGATCAAAGAGACAGTTATGATTTTAAAAACTCACACAGTAACTTCATATAGCCACTAGCCTTAATGTCCATAACATTATTTATCCTTGTTACAATCACCTTAGAGGGCCATCTGATCATAAGTTGTTGCATAATGCAACATTTATTTGGATAGATATACCTATGCCTCATTAACATTATTACATATAAACCGATTTTATACAACATAAGAAATATGAGCCCAAGACCTTGGCACAAAACTAATCTTATAAGATTTTATATACACCACCCTCATATGTATGTCATTGTGTGTAAGTGTGTATACACGTATTCACATAAATAATATCCTCATTAAGAGTTTTACATGCCCCTCATATAGTCTCTACCCCAGTGGATACAGGATAAGCCCAGCACATGAATATAGAAAATCACTTCTGGGGGTGAAGCTGTGTGAAGCTGTGTGAAGCTCTGTAACTCTCCAGCTTTCACTCTCCCAACCACACCCTTCTCTCCCTTTTCTAGCTGGACTCTTCTAATGCCCATATCCAGAAATCCTAGTCATGGGTACTGACAGTTTTATTATCTATTAAATATCATTGCAATGACTCAATCCCCCCAAAATAATATTACATTAAGGAATATTCATCTTCCAAATGTACATTTGACACAATCAAACCAAAGTGTGGAAAACAGAGATTTTAAAAGAAAAATACATATAAATGTTGCCAAATGTACTCTAGATGACAGTAGTCATTTAGATTAACTCGATCAAGAAACAGAAATAAGCCAGAAGTGAACTGGTATAATGTCCAATGGTGAACATCTCACCAATCTGTCCCCTTCTCTATTTCTTGAGATCAGTCATGAGCTGAAAGAACATTCGGCTATCCTCCAGATGCAGGTCTATTTGGCAATATCACCAAGGGCTGGTCAACTTGCCCATTATATTACTGTATATTCTATAAAAGTTATAATGCACAGGGTACTGTAACGATTTCAGAAATAAAATTCATCTTCATTTTTTCAAGACACAGAAAGGTGCAACACAGAAATATACAACTAAACATCTATACAAATACACAATTAACTACATTTTGCACAAAACATTTATAATATTGCTTGCAAACCTCCTGAAATAGCATCACCTGGAGTACTTATTTAAAATTTAGATTTCTGAGGTCCATCTCCAACTTTGCAATGGAATTTTAGTAGATGGGGCTGAAGAATCTGCACTATAAAGAATTCTTCAGTTGACTATTACGAATGAGTGTTCTAGATAATTCAGTGTATCTTGTTATTTTCTTTTCAACCTTGCAGAGTTTTAAAAAAACACATTGGTAAATTACTTTTTTCAAAAATAATATCAAGTGTAAGAAATGATAATGCAGTAAGACTTCAATAGATGGACTCCCTATATATTATATTCTATTTCAATGAAACATTTAGATACATTCCTATTTACTTTTTTAAGAGCTTGTGTGTTTCTCACCATCAAGACTATTTTTTCAACTATGTTTATAATCATGAACTTGTCTGACAAGTGAACAGCTTAAATACAATCAGCATAATTTCAGGGAGAATCTGCTTTCTTCAATATTCCTATTTTCATAGGCTTTACCTTAACAAGTAATTTCAGGTAGGTTTTGTGTATACAGGTACCAAAAGAAACATAAAAAGTAAGCTGAAAATGGAGTTATTTTGTTGGATGGATTTTAAATCTTCAGGGATTTAAAATAATCCAATTTTATTGGTTTCAAAAAGCAACACACTCACCCACAAATGATGGCCAATCAACCTCAGCCTGCACTGAGCTAAACACAAGCTGTGTAAACAAAAACCAGCTCTCAGGTGAAAACAAACCACAATTATTACCCACCTCCAAGACTAGCTGTTTCTATGTTACTACATTCGTATGAAAACCATAGGGGGGGGAATGTCTTTTTGTTTAGAGAAGAATGAGAGTAAAATGGAAACCTTTACTTTTTGAAAAGAGCTGCAACCTTTCAGAAATCTAAGCTGTACATGAGTTACCTAATTATATGTTGTTCGGCCTAATGATGGAGTGAAGAGAGGTGAACAGCACAAAGGCGGCGGGAGCAGGACTCTGAATAGGGCCCCATCATCCATGTAAATTGCAAATTAGAGGCCGGCATATGTGACTCAAAACAAATATTAAGATTGACGTGAGCTGCAAATTCAAACAAGCGGCCACCACAGAGCCACACAGGAGAGATGCACAGGGGCCTGGTCACTAGTCAGATCTTCCAGAATATTGCTGCTTGGGGGACATTGAGGGACACTGAGAGCAGCAAGCTCCTGGTTTTCACTACCTGCAAGGCCGTCTGAACGTAGGTAGTATGACAACATGGGCCATTTTCCTAAGTTATTCCTTTGTAGTAGACGTGTTAATTTTTTTTAATCTGCCCAGCAATGCTTTATTTGGAAACTGCCCCACCCTCACTCCATGCGATTTGGTGGAGCTGTCAAATGCAACCTACTTTCCTGGTCACAGGAGTGGCCACGTGACTAGCTATATAATCAGATAATTTGGAAATCATGATTAATAAAAGAGCAGACATAACCCAAGCAGGGCCAGAGTCATTTTAAGGATCTGAGGCTAGGAGAGAAAGATCTGCTGTCCTTTCCTCTGGGATCAGCTGATGTAAAGATGATTGAATTTTGAAAACACCAGCAGTCGTCTTGAGACCACCTAAAACAGCTTGTCTGAAAGTGAAGTCACAAAAGCTAGCAGAGCCAAGAGATGAGAAGAGGGGGAGGGTCCTGGTGACACCGTGGAACCTCTGGATCCAGCTATGCCTGCGGGTAGCATGAATTTTCCAATTATGCAAACCAATAAATTCTCATTTTTTTATATGCACTGACCTGAGATGGATTTCTCTCACTGAATCTAGGAACTGCTGACTAACACAGCCTTTACTTCATCTGTTTTTCTGCAGTGTCATATCTGCTCTTTTATTGCCTCCAATAAAGATTTTAATTCTAGCCCAGCCGGGCGTGGCTCAGCGGTGGAGCATCGACCTATGATTCAAGAGATCGGGGTTTGATTCCTGGTCAGAGCACATGCCCGGGTTGCGGGCTCGATCCCCAGTCGGAGGGGAGGGGCACAGGAGGCAGCCGATCAATGACTTTTCTCTCTCTCTCTCCCCCTCTCCCTTCCTCTTTGAAATCAATAAAGATATATTTATAAAAAATTTTTAAAAAGATTTTAATTCTATGAAAATTTGTCATCGAATTTCTTATCTCACCATGTTCACTTTCCCCTCAGCTTTTTCTGTCATCTCACTTTGTCTTTGAATCTCAGTTTGTTCTCTCTCATATGCTTTCTACTTCTGTTTCATCAGGCCACAGTGTTTGCACATTTCCTATGTTCATGTGGAGCGTCCAGTGTGCCAGGCACTGTTCTAGATCTTTTACATTAATTCATTAAATCCTCACACCAGCCCTGCTGTGCTGAATTGTCTGGCTCTGAGCACACACCCTCCCGATGGAACTAGTTATCCAGAACCCTCCTCCTTGCATCGTCCTGGGTTAGATTTGGCCAATAAGAGACTCATTAGATCCTGAAAACGAAGGTGAAACAGATGCCATTATAACCCATGTAAAGCCAGGCAAGTGGGCAAAAAATCCCAGGGACTCTGCAGCAAGCTTTTCATATTTAGACAGCAGTGATTTGAGATTCCTCAATAGGTAAGTTAACAAACTAGAGGAAAGTAAAGCCTCCCCCAAGCCTGTCCCTTACAGTGAAGTTCAAGTGCTTGGAGATGTGAAGACTGAGAGCTGAGGGATGGCAGCCGATGGGAGCCACAGACAGAAACCTCTTGGGGCTGCGGGCAGTGTGGACAGTCAGACTCAAAGAAACCAAATCCAACTGACCGTTCACTCCCTTTGCTACTCTGGTGACGGTTAACATGATTCTTAGTGAGAAGAAACTAGAGAGGATGTGTATCTTTTAAGTTTGTGGAACAGAAGTGAGTAGTGTAACCAGTTGTCATTATCAAGAAATACTTATCACCATAAACTCTCACATTAAAAAAGCTCTCCAGGTATCACCAAAGGGGCACACGCACTGGAAAGTCTATCTTGGGCTTATTTCTGTCTGGGCATGCTGTATTTTTTAAAAAACACTAAATTATTAAATTATAAATGTTACTTTTACAAGAGAATGGAAACCTTTTAAATGTAAGTAAATGGAGGATCTGACATTCATCAGAAAAAAGAAACGTCTTCAATATTCTAAAAGATGAAGTAACATAAGGAGCTGCATCTAGAACAGCTTATCATTATTATTATTGTCATTGTTTATAAGAGCATTTTAGAGCTAACAAAGCTTTCTTGATCATGGTCTAACTTCCTCATCACCACGGTCCTGTGAAGAAGGCAGAACAGATATTACTAACTATTCTGTCTCAGAGGTGAACAAAATGCTAATACACTTATTTTAATGCTAAATCCCAAAGCTCTGTTACTGTGAGTCACATCAAGGAACCACATAGAGCCAGAAATGTTTCTCCAGCATCATTTTTACTGATTTATCTTAAAGTTTTTTCACTTTCTGATGAAATAGAAATTTTGTCTACTGATAAGTTTTTATTAACATTAAGAAAGTACATACATCATTCTTGAAAAGAACATTAAGTCTCTTGCTTCCCCTGCTGAGTACTTCCTTCTAATGCACATTGAATTGATTACCAATATGGTGTTTTGGAAAAGTTTACCACTCCAGTTTCATGACAGGTCTATACAGACCACATTACTCATAAAACTTAAAATGGCAGCTTAAAATGTGTTTGACTTACTTCAGAACTGTTGGAATTCGTGTCTCTGGTAAGATTGATGAGAAGTAATAATGTTACTGGGTTTTCATTACAAGCCCATCTTTAGGGAAAAGCAACAGGATTGAAACCTCCAGTTTCTCTAATTACATTTGAAAAGTTAGGCCCGGGTACATCCCTTAAGATACAGAAGGATTTAGATTGGCTCTTTTTAATCATTTTTTGATTATAATATCAGCAAAACAGGTAAGTTGTATGGGTTCAGGAAGCTTTTGAAGATGCCCTTCTGACCTAAATGCTTCTTAATATAAATTTCATATTGATTTGGACTTTTAGTGAAATCTTAACTCTTTAGATTGTTTTGAATCAACTATGATATCACTATGAAATCTTAAATCACCCTTTCAAACTGGGGGAGAACCAGCTAGGACTAAGATTTTATGAAGTGGCTCTTCTGCAAAGATCTTCACATATAGCACCTTATTTAACCCTTGCGGCCCTAATGAGATAAAGATCATTGCCCTGATTTTAAGATGAGAAAACTGAGACTTGGAGATATTAGTGACTTGTCCAAGGTCATGCAGGCAAGTGGCAAAGCAAGCATTTGAACCCTGGTCTGACTCCAGATTCCTTTTCTATTATATGCTACAGGGGAGGATATTCTGAGAAATATGTTTTCCTTTTTTCATGATTATTGAATTTGGGGATGGTAAAACGACTAACTGCTCCCAAATACTCTTCCCGTTGGAACTCTCAGTTATTCGGAGGTGAAAATTCAGTTGGCCAGTCACAAAGAACCCTCCCCCCACCCTCTTCTGCTCACTCACATCTCTAAAGGTAGAAAGGACAGAAAGGGTCTGAAACAAAGGTGCTCCCTGTGGACCACTGATGAATGTTTTCGTAAAAGGTCTGAGTGGAAAGGCGGCAGAAATTAAAAGCTTATTGTCCCAGTTTCTTGGATCTCTAACAGACATTCAAAAGCTGACTTGATTTGGATGGAAACATAAAAAAGGTGAGCAAAGATGCTGACTTGCATTGTTTCTGGGTAAATCAGATGCACATGTGACAACACATTTGATTTTAAATTAAATCAAGTCATTTATAGGCTTAGTAGAAAGTGACATTCCGTGTTATGAAAGGGTAATTCTATTAGTAAATTCTCTGCAAATGAGTTTCATTGAACCGAAAGAGGCAGGGCTTTGTCTCTCACAGTGATGCGGCAGCCTCTCCAGCTGAACCACGAGGTAGATGTACTTGCTCTCCTTGTGGCTTCCAAGACCTACGTTTAAATTTCATATTGCAGGAACAACAAATGTATTATTCTAAGTGCCTTGACTCTAGAGGAATATCAACTACTTCACAGATAGAATACAAATATCCTTCTCACTTTAAATCTGAGTAAATAGTCTTAAACACTTTCTAAATCCTATTATATGTACAAACTTTGCATGTAAAGGTTGAGCTGGTTAGGCAGAGGCGTGTAAGTAAATACACCCTTCTCCCATAAGTACACAGTATTGAATGGAGAAAAGGGCTTTACACTTTATTCCCTCAACCCCTCAATCAAAGACCTTTTAAAAGAAAAGGCAGACTTAAAATAATAACCCCAGTTCTATGATAAGGAACTTCCGTATTTGAATTCCATTGAATTATAGAGTTAGACAGGGCCTCCTGAGGATCCGTGTAATGCAGCCCCTCCCAGCCCTCCACCACCTTCTTCCCTGCAGTGCACTGGAGCCGCTGATCTGAATTCTGATGATAACCTATTTTGTGCCCATTTTAAAAACTTCATTTAAAATCTTGACCGATAACCAGTGACCTTTAAGAGGGAGGCAGCGGGGCCTAAGAGGAAGAGCGAACTCAGGGGCTCTGGTTCTTTAGTCTCATTTTCCTCATCTACGAAATGGGAATCGGTACAATTTTGTGAGAATTGGAAATGATCAAAGTGTTGGCACAGTTCTGCTACACAGCACTTGCTGGCTAAAAGGTAGTTATTATGATTATTATGGTCATTCTGTAAGCAAACTGTTCTTACAGAGCATCCCCTTAAAATGACCTTGCCGGTAATAACAGACACGCAGTTTCTCCATCTCTTATCAATCTCAAACCATCTTAGAAAAGTGCTTATGTTTATATCGGCATATGTTTATACATTTGGATTAAAATGTAAAACCTCACTCCGTTTCTACTTAAGCATTGACCTTTTGCAATTTAATATCAGATAACTGCTGCCATCCTGCAAAGAGACATTGCACAGCTGGGGCTCTGGGCACATAGATCTGCAAAGCACCGTCAGTAAGAGAATCAAGTGGTGGGACAGGCCCTGTGAGAGATGACAAAGATATTTCAGGTACTTTTCCCAAAAAGGGAGTTTCTTGACCCAACTAGGATAGACGTTCTATCTTAACTGATTCTAACCCATAAAGAACCTGACAGATAGTTTCTATATTCCTTCTAGAAAGCAGAGAATTCATGATGGGGAGACAAATAAGCTTTCCTTGAGATTTCAGGAAGGAATATTTCTTCCAGGCCACCATGAGAATGGTGGTAACTGAGCAAACACGTGAAAGCTTTGATGTACCTCCTAGCTTATAACCAAAGAAGAAATTCATTTTCTAAAGGCTCATGCCCTCCCTTCTGGCTCTACTTCTAAACCAGCCATTAGGCATCTATTGATTTCCTACTCGCAATCAGCCTTAAGTTTGACACTTTGCTCCCCACAAGCATTCCAAAAGAAATAGTAGTGGGGTACAATCTCAGTAGCATCTGTGAATGATTCTTCCCTGGGCCACAGATTTGCAATGCTCTTTCTCCCAATTCTCCTGCAATTCTAGACGGGAAACCATGGGAGCTTCGCCATCAAGTCAAAGAATTTCTAAGAAATGCTAATAACTCAACAGGTCCAAAGGATCCATATGTGTCTTGTTCAAAGCAGAATTTCCAATGCCTGCAAGTGCCTAGCATTTTAAAGGCATTCCACAAAGTTTTAATAACTGTTAACGGAATAATTCAGATGTCTTTCTGACTGAACATGGAGAGATAAAAATAAACAAAATTTTAAAGTCCTTTTTGAGCAGGAGTGTCATAATATTTAAATTTCAACAAAATGTCCATTAGCCTTGCTGTGGGTCAACCACAATTTTCCAGAAAATCATGAGGAGCGGCTTCCTTACATTACTCTGGTGTTTATTGACCTCCATGGCATGTTTGATCTCAGGTGGCTCCTTCATATGGGAGTAATCTGAGAATCCTTTGGCAGCATCATGTTTCTGCTTGTAGGCAACCTTAAAAAAACAAAAAACAAACAAAAAAAAAACACAATAAACCATTACTCTCACTGAGAGGTGTATTAAATTCTTATCTGTTAAATTTCAGTGTTTTGCTAGGACTTTATATATTTGAATACCACAACTGATGGTCAAATTTGCCTGAGCCTCTATAATGAGACAATATGCATAACACTTTCATTTCAGTGCTTCAGTTTAGACCCCTAATTCTAAATCTTTATCACTTACTTCAAAAGTCCTTGACCATAGGCTGAAGTGTCAATTCTCATATTCGTCTAATTTAAATTTCAGCTACAATTTTGGGAAATCTCCCAAGCCCAAGAGCTTTTAGGGTTCTAAATGTTCAAGGTTTAAATCTTGGGAAAGTAACTGACACAATGGGGGAAATGATTGAATGTTTAAAAGTGAAGTGTTTGTTTTAAAATTAATTGTTATGATTTTATGAAGACACAACTATACTATTTAAATGACTTAACCTTTGGGAGAAAATATAATGCAGGCCAAAATCTCAGATATGTCAAGCCCTGTCCTCTGTTAGAGAAAAAAGCATCATACCAACACCATCCATTACCACCAAGTTAAATTTGTTCCATACTGAGAAGGCACGAGCATGATTACTTCAGTAGAAGAAACCAAACTCTACAAGAAAGTTAGAAGTTAAAGAAGATCCAGAAGGCAGCAAATTATCCCCTTGCTCACAGTCTATGCCATTATCCTATTTATTTCCTTCACAATTTTTAATTACTATGTTTCCTTTCTGTCAAATGATTTCTTTTTTGTCTGCCCTTAACAGAACATAACTGTCTAGTTCACTGAAGGCTCAAAACCCCAAATAGTGACTGGCACAAAGTAGGTAGCAATAAATATTTGCACAAGTGAATAAATAAATGAATGAATACTGAATGGATGAAAATAAAACAGGAATAAATTATTTCAAAATTAATTTTAAATATTTATCAAAGGTTTAATAATAAAAAGATATTAAATGGAATTAGAATTACTTGACCCAAGAGAATAAAGTCACTTTAAAAAGAAAGATTAGAACATTGTTTACCAAGAACAAAATAAAATCTAATTTTCAATGAAAAAGAATAAAGTTAAACTTAGCGAAAAACTTTTTACCAATATAATCTCCTTGAGAGCTATGCCTGTATTGTACATATTTTTTAATGTCCTGTGCCTATCATAGTGAATGGCAAAGAGTAGAAGTGCAATAAATGTTTAGTGAATGAATAAATAAATTAGTTTATTAAGCATTCTCTTGAACTTAAACTCCTCACAGGCTTTAATAAATAGAATTAACACCCATTTTACTTAGATAATATACTTGTCTAAAGGATTAAAGTGATAATTACAAAACTAATTTTTTTAAATTAAAAAATAGCCCTAGCCAGTTTGGCTCAGTGGATAGAGTGTTGGGCTGAGGACTGAAGGGTCCCAGGCATGTTCCTTGGTTGCAGGTTCGATCCCCAGCTCCAGTCGGGGCACATGTGGGAGGCAACCAATTGATGTGTCTCTCTCACATTGATGTTTCTCTCTCTCTCTCTCTTTCTCTCTCTCTCCCCCTCCCTCCCCTTCCACTCTCTCTGAAAAGCAATAGAAAATGGAAAAAAATACCCTCAGGTGAGGATTGAAAAAAAAAATTATTTTAAAATAAAATCATCAAATATAACCACAAAAAAAGCAAGTACAACTATCAATATTTAAATCCCTTCTCTGCTTCCTCTGCTGAGTTTTTCTTGAAACCTAATAAAAGAGCGCTCAATCATAGGCATCACACACAGTCTCTAAATTTTGAAAGCTGTGAAAGTTCCTCCTTCAATGAAACCCAAATCTATCTGCCCATCCCTGCATTTATTTGGCCACACAGGTGGAGTCCTGTTCACCGGACAGAACTTTACACAGGGGAACACAGCTGTTGATGACTTCCCTTCTTCTAGACCGTCTGCACGGGTTGACCCGCTGAACCCCTGTACTCCCTAACTGAGCTCCTCAGCACAAATTCCAATTTATTCATCTCTTTCTTAAGGTGCTCACATGTTCCAGATACGGTCTGACCTATTCTAATTAGAATCATTCAATTTAATCCAGACTACCTACCACCTCTCATGTGCTAAATGTGATTAATGCATCCATGGATCACACTGTTTTCTTTTGATGGTTATGTTGAGATTTCTGTCAACTAACACCCTTAAGTCTTGTTCAGTCCCACCCAGCCCTGTTCCCACACCCAGTCCTGCATATCTGGCTGATTATTAGGGCTTGCATGCAGCACTCATGTTAGCCCAGAGATCATTCATCTTGTCAGAGTCTGTCCAGTGATTTAATCCATCAGGATATCAAACTCTAATAAACATATCTTTATGTTTTTCACCAATTAACTATGTTAAACAAGAAACCCATTAAGAACCTGCATTTAGTTCCATTATTCTATATTATGTATTTGGGGGAAGGAGGAGGAGTTTAATATGGGTGGGGGGGGACAGACAAGTCTATTAAGCCAGGAAAAAAAACTCTATGATATATGTTTCTTCTACTTAAATAAAAAGAGCTAGGTTGTGCCTGTCTCCTTTTTGCTGGGTGCCTGGTTTATTTTGAATCTTAGACTATCATACTTGGGACTTCATAAACGTAACCAATACAGCCAATCGTTTTGTGGGTTATCCCCGAAATGGTGAGTCATCAAACAAGGTTTTAAAAGGCACTCTTTTAAAAAGGCTATGTAATTTTCTACTTGCAGCATTAAAACAGTCATTTCATTTATAGCTGTTACTAAGCACCACTTCAGAATTAAGATTACATCAAATTGGAGGTGGCTGAACTTTAATTTATCATATTAATTTCCATCTTTAAAATAGCTAATGGAAAATTACGTCAAGCTAATAAATTTCCTGATAAATTTGATTTCCTAGGACTTGTCATTATTGTGTGGCATTCCCCTGGATTAATACTTGTTTTCTTTATACCCTGAGAATCAAGGTTGCTATGGTACTGGACACCTACCTAGTGGAGGACACTTGCAATGGTCTTACATACTTTATATATAAATATGCTTATGTAAGTAATAATATATATTTACCTTAGGTATTTGATCACATAGTATATCTTTATATCTCATATATGCATATAAAAGATGTACATAGGTTTCTAAGTTACAGTCTATTTGATAACTGCTACATAGGTAAATGTGCTTCTAACTGATAGCACAGACACCTCTGATGCCCCTGAAACAGGACTGTGGGGCCAAATAGCTAAAAACATAGGCTCTCGCAAACCTCCTGGTGCAGATGCCTGAGCAGCCTGCATTACTTCTGTGATGAGGGATGACCTAGCCTCTGCCTGAAACAGCCCTGGGGGAAAGGATTTCACTGCACAATCCATCCATTTCCAGGAGCTTTCTTTGTGATCTGTGTTTATAACATTTTTAATGAGGAATATCTAATAAAATGGCTTCCTAAAATCTCCACACATCTTCCCCTCTCTTTTTTTGAAGGGTTTCTATTAGTCATTTTCCATAGGGAGTATTAATATAGCTAACTTCACCATACCGCTCTAGTTTGAATGTAAGCATCTGAGACTGTTTGCAAATTGGTTTTAAGATAGTATTTTGTTCTGGTAACAAAAGTTTAGGAAATTTTTCATTAGAACCCAGAATGCCATTAAATTTCAGATTTGGCTAATACTCTAATTTAGGTTAGCTCAAATCTGATACAATTTGACACAGTAAAAGGTTAGTTATTTGTTGTTTTTTATCACAGATGCTGTCAAATCCTTTTACTTTCTTGACTATCTTATTACCAGATAAGCTTTGAGGACTGCAATTTTAAAAATAATAAAACTGATGTACGTAAGACTAAAGTAATGTTATTACAATTACATAAATCTTTGAACCAGACACCTTATTCAGGGTCCAGGATTTTCCTTATCAACAAGTTCAGTGACTAATTACAATACTGGGCAGCGCTGCTCCTTAAGAGCAAAAACATATCTTTCCCAGGGTGCATATTCTACTACAGGGTGACACATATTAAAGGTGTAAGTGATGAACTTTTCTTGCAAAGAAACACCCAGATTCCTAGATATACAACATGGATTATTCTTCATGTTCTGTGTTGCACATGTTTGCATACTATAGATCTATTTATGCTATGAAAGGTGAGAAAAGTCATGCATTTCCTAAGCAATGAAGATGTAAATATCTGAAAACTGTTACCTTCCCAAGTAAGTATAAAAATAGATTTTTTTTCTTTTCCTTCTTTATTGCTTAATTATTGTTTGTCACATATCAAGTGTTTTGTTAGAATTATTTGCTTTATAAAGTAGTCCATATTATCAGCAAGAACTTAGGTGACCAGATGTGGGCAACGAAGAAAAAAAAAAGAAATGGAGGGCATATTAGCCACGGTGAGCCTCGCCAGACTTTAACATCGTATATTTTTAGCCTCATGTTGCACAGCTGAGATTAGCCTACTGCCAAGTTGGGTACACAGTGGACATTTAAATTTGTAATAACAAAGGACTTAAAGAGGTCATGCCAAGGCTAACTATGCTCTGCATTTTTCAAGAGTAATCTATTTTCAGACTATTTTAAAATTATCTAGGTATTCTCTACTTAAAAGTGAAAAGATTCTGGAGAAAGTAAACTTGTTTAATGAGAAAAAGGGGGCAGAATTGGTAAGAAAGAGATGGTACAGTGTGTGGTTAGGAAATGAGGCTCTGGCCCTAGCTAGTTTTGCTCAGTGGCTAAAGCATCAGCCCATGGTCTGAAGGGTCCCGGGTTTGATTCTAGCCAAGGACATTTACCTCGGTTGCAGGCTTGATCCCCAAGCCCAGTCGGGGCGAGTGTGAGAGGCAACCAATCGAACTGTCTCTCTCACATCGATGTTTGTCTCTCTCTCTCCTCCCTCCCTCCCTCCGTCTATGAAAAGCAACGAAAAAAATATCCTCAAGTGAGGATAAAAACAAAGAAATGAGACTCGACCATTTATTGACTGTGTAACCTAGGGTAAGTCACTTAACCTCTCTGTGCTTCAGTTTCCACATCTCCAAAATGGGAATATCTCATAGAGTGCTTGTGAGGACAAAATGATATAAATATTTATGAAATGCATATAACAGCACCTGGCATACAGTCAGCATTTCTACGTGTTTACTATTATTTTTAACCTAAAATGTAGCATGAAGAATATAAATTATGTAAAACAAAACATTTCCTTGGAAAGGAAATCAACAACTTGAATAAAAATCTATTTTATAAGTATTTACTGAACATTCCCTATGTGCCAGGGACTGTTCTAAGCACAGAGGTAGAGCAGGGAACAAGACAAACGAGGTCCATGCTCTCATGTCTCTTATGGAATCAAGTAACAGATTAATAAAGTAAAAAACAAACAAAATCAGGTTGTGTTATGAAGAAAAGAAAGCAGTAAGATGAGAGAGAAAGAGGTGAAATATTCTGTTTTAAAATTCTGTTTTAAGAAATACAATACATTAAATGTATTGAGTATTTCTTATGTATTGATGTACTATAAAGTGAAAATTACTCCTGAACGCCTGTGGATTCAACATGAGTTTACATGATGACAGTTCTTAAGTTCATCTGCAACTGGCAATTACCAAAACGGCCACTTCCACCTGATGGAGGCTCTTTTGGGTAGCCTGGGGTATTCTAAATGAAAAACACAATGCAGCTCTCAGGTTTTATTCAATACGCAGTACTCAATATGAAGAACTTTTAAAAATGCTGAATAATTTATATCAGATTGCGTGTTTTCTCTACAGAGCTATGTAAGAGTGTGGGGAAAGCATACCTCACTCTGAAGCTGCGTAACTTCTCTTGCAAAGACGCTGTCGATCGTGGCTGGCATCTGCTTGTAGAGAGAGTTTGAGAGGTCCGCCTTGGTGGTGCCTTTGTATTTTGCCTGATGGGGAGAAAGGAAAAAAACAAATAAGCATGCCTCTTTTTACAGGGAATATTAAAAAATAAAAAGAAACTTTCTTCAGAAACAGAATGAATTTAAAAACCTGAAGAGCATTTTAATCCTGGACCTGACAAACATACTTTGAAGAAAGGCAAATCCAGGTTACTGTGGAGAAACCTTTAAAGGAGACACCCAAGGAAAAATGACTGTTTAAACCCATGTGCATTTCTATAAGTAAATCTATTTGTGTGCATTAACAGTTTGATATGTTTAATCAGCAAAGAAAAATCTGAGAGTGATGAGACATTTGACTTGCTCCAGAAAATACGAGCTGTTAGAACATCCTGTCTGGGACCTGAGTGCAAAGGACAGAGGCCCTTTATTCCATTCTTCTTACCCTCCTACAGCGATGAAGGCGAGATGTGTTTTTCAGCTTCTGCCCCTCACCCCTCCAGTCTGCACTGTTCCTAAGTGATCTCAGTCACTACTCTTAAAAAGAAACACTCATCCACCATGTCCTCTTCGGAAGGTTAAGTTCAAAGTAACACAACAGGTTTCCCACTTCCATGTTTTTACTATGCAGTTAACTCCTTCAGGACAACACATCAATTAATAATTAAGAACATCAAGAATTTCTCGGCACAAGAGAAATGACAAAACTGTGTTTTTCCACTCTGTCGACAAGTCTCTGATGTGACTTCCACTCAGAACTAGATTTGAAGGTTGAATTATTGAGCATGTAACCTGTTTAAACCTTGTGTTCCTGTAATTCTTTGGATTTGGGTACTTAATAAAAAAAAAAGTACCAATTTTCCTCACAATGCTTTCATGTTAGCAGAAATAATCCCGAGAATATCATATAGATCATTTTCCAACATATGAAACACTAGAGGTCAGTCATTTTACTCACTCTCTTGTCAAGTTTATCTCTTCTAAGGGATCCATTCACAGACGACAGAAATGCCTCATCACCGAAATCACTGCTAAGACTATTCTTTTCAATGCAGCAATTACTGTGGTCCTAAATGCTCTCAGGAAGAGACTATATGATTTTTCAGCTGGAAAACCTGTGGTTTCACAGTCAGTATCTCTGTTGAGCCAATCCTACTCAAAAATAACTTAAATTTATTTTAAAAATGCTTCACCAAAAGTAACATATTTTATGGAATCAGCTGGTAAATATTTTCAAAGTTATATTCAATGACTCATAACTAATTAGTCTGTTAGGAAATAAAATATGAAACTTCTAAGACTATTTTGGCAGTACTTTCTACTTATTGAATAAAAATATCTTTTCAATGCCCTGGCTGAATGGCTGTGTTGGTTGGAGTGTGGTCCCTTACACCAAAAAGGTTGCAGGTTCAATCCTCTCTCTTAAAAAAAATCAATAAGAACATATCCTTGGTGAAAATTAAAATGTAAACATATATATATAACCCTTTTCAAGAATAATTCTTTATAAATAAGAAAGGTTTGGAATCAAAACACAGACATGTAATAAAACGTATCAACCACAGACGGTAAAATACATCAGTTTGCATGAGTTAATTGATAGCGCAGAGAATTACAAAATTATATAGATATTACCAACATTCAGTAGTGCTCTTGAAAATATTATTCTTCAACTTCAATGCACAGACTTTTATCTGCATAAATATAAAAAGACAATGCAAGCCATTTTGCAAGTTTTTTGATAACTTACCTCAGAAATAAAAGCGCCAATATTTTTTACATGGTTTAGCATAGGCGTGTCGGTCACAAACGTACACTTGTCCTTAGACTTCCTATGCTCCTCTTTATAATGGATCTAAAAGAGAGAATAAGTCACGTAAGAGGAAGAAGAAGAAGAAAAACAACTTCAATGGCCCATTGCTGACCAGAAGAATTCACATGAGAAAGCCCATCTTCGGAAGTAAATACTCAAATGTGAAATGATGCTCAAAATAAGCCAAATCAAGTAAACTGATATCCAGCCCAGAACTGCAGGCGCGAAAGGCATCATAAAGAAAGCCTCTTCTTCAGATTCACGAGGGTCCAGTTGTCATCAAGGATCACATGTGTCGGACCCACAATGATTATGAATCCTGTTGCCTAGTTTGTTACTTTTAAGCCACTGACCTTAATAGTTAAGCCTGCGGTCAAACAGAAATATAGCTGCCTACCTCTAGGTTTAAAACAAGTAGTCCTCAGGACAGATGAAACCATTTAAGAACCATTTAAGAAGCAGAGGCAGAAATTAAACAAACGGAGATTACTATTATATTAGCATCGTTACCTAGAACTGCTGGAGTAGAGGAAGGAACTTAAATTGTGGCCACCGTGGGCTTTCTGTTACTAATTAATTCCAGTTATTAGTAACTAATTAATTCAAACTTAACCAGTTTATGAGCACCCATAGGCCTCCCATCCTCCTTCCCCTCCCCAACAAAAATAGAACCTGCCCAGAAAGTTTGCCACGTGGCTGAGATTATTCCAGAATGCCTCCTTGCTGTGACTAAGCAGAAGAGCAAGAAAAAGATCAGAGAGGCTTTGCTGAGCATGCTCGTTCCTCCACTTGTGCTGACTAGTAAAACGAGTCACCCCTTTTTTCTTGGGAAGAGGCCAGAATTGTTGTTCTGGGGAAAGACCCTGTGTGGACACATGAGCCAAAGAGGAATTAGGAATTATAGAAAAGGGCCTAAAATGTAATCCCACTGTCACAATTGCCGCCCAATCTGAACACTGGGGAGGCAACATTTATGACTAGTTGAGAGGGTGAAGGTATTTGCTAAAAGTTATCTCACCCTGTAATAAAGTCATGCTTATCTACCCAAGACCGTAAATGCTTAGGCTGAAAAAAAGGCCCATGGGCTCCCTAATTATAACCTAAAAGTAAAGTTTAATTCTATATACTACCTGGTTCTTAAAGGGCATGACTAACATTGACGTTACACACAAACATTACCCAGGGATTTTACCACATGCAAACCTGATCTGAAGGGCATTCTTTGACCATACCAGATATGAACATACTAAATAACGTTATTTCAAAATACCATATTCCACTGCTGTGACTCTTAGATGTCATATGCCTATCACATTAAACATTTGCTTTATTCATGAAATCAACATTAGAGCATATTTATCTTATCTGAGCACTAAATTCCTTTTTTTTCTTCTCAGAGATTAGCCATAATTTTAGGCCTCTGCAAATCACCCTCCTCAATCACTAGTAATTAAGCTGTTAAAGGCAGTAAGATAAATAGTGGGCTATTTTGATCATATGGAGGGAAGCAAAAAGTATCCCTGGTATATAATAAGTGTGAGGGAAAATAGCCTGTCATTAGGCTTAAGTCTGCCTCATTATTTTTATCTTTCACCACCATCTTTCCCTCTCACATTCGCATTCTTCTCTGCAGTGGTATGTGCAGGGCTACAGCCTCCTGATAAGCTCTGACCTGAGCAGAATGTTCAGGAAGGGAGCAGGGATAACGGTGAAGTGCTTACTTCCCTTGCTATGCAGGCGAACAGTTGAGTCTTCAGTGTGGACTCCATTTCTTTCTTTGGTCTTTATTTAAAAGATACAAACACATACGCCTTTCTAATTTCTCATGAATTATACAATATGAATGGCAATACCACATTATTTTGAATTTTTATATTAAAAAAAGTCACTTATTAGTAGCCTTCCTATACCAGGAGAAGACAGATGAAAGGAAATTGCACCGATGGCTGACACAAAATCTTCAGTAAAATAACAATCACTGAGCAGATAGCCGTTTCCTAATACAACAGTGTCTATATTCCTAAGACAAGCATGGCTCTCTCGTAGATGGATTGCCTATCCAAGCCCTGTCTTCCTTAGTAGCAGAACCCAAATGTATTTATGAGAGTAGCCAGACCCCTCCCCCAGCCCCAGAGGACAAATTGCTCTAAACCATAGTTTTCTCATCTCTCTTGGCTAGTGATTGGCCTGGAAAGGCCAGGTGCCCAGCTCTGGTTATAAGACATTAGTGGTGTCCTGGTGTTTCTGGTATAAAGGGAGAGACTTGCTGGCATAGCCCTTTGACACATAGCCCTTCCACCTTTTTCCTTTCCTAGTCACAGGGGTGCAGCAGCAATGATGTCATAATAAGGCAAAAGCCACCATACTAATTTTGACAGAGCAGAAGAAAAGGAATCTGAGAAACTAATATCATCAAATATGCCAAGACTGGACCCTCTACCTCCAGGCTTCATGTGTGAAAGAAATATCCATTTGGTAAACCTTTGTGCCAGGGTTTTTCTGTTACTTGTAGCCCTCTGTATTCGTAACCAATATACCAAACAAGTTATGTTCTGATCAAGAGAAAAAAGGGCGAAGTTGGTGACTTAATGATCATTAAGATGACCAAAATATTTACTGTCTGCTTTGACCTCACCCATTAATCCCACCATGTCTCAACTAAAATGAGAGTTAAATTGCATCACCTACTTTCTTTCACTTTAGTATGAGATTAGCCAATGGCTGAAAGTGAATAACAGATGTAGACATGTTTGAAGATATTTCCTTTTACAAGCTTTCTTAACCCAAAATACCTAGAAAGTCTTTTCGCAAACAAAGCCATATTGCTAGAGGCAGTAAATCCTGGAAGAACGAACCAGGGCTCCATTCCTATTTGTTAACTGATTGCTCACAGCCAAGGCTGCTGTCCCAGGTTCTCTAACATATTCAGAGTTTTCTCTGGAGGGGAAATCACGACTCCAATGTTTTCAGCACTGGATGGATTTACCCACAACACCCAATGGTCATTTGCCTGGAAAATGTTCTTTCTGCTGCATTGTACATGAATACCATAAAAAGGTTTGAACCAAAACATTGAGTCAGAGGCTTCATGCAGATGTGGCCAAACTTGCTCTGCAGGGACTTTATGCCTAATTTACAAGAAACATACAAAAGGTCACCTTTAACCTAATGTTTGTATGTCCACTTGACAAAAGGCCTCTAGATCCATGATTCTGACTGTTCAATCTTGTCAATAGGTTCAATTTATTCAAGAGATTGAGTAGATAGTTGACTAACGATGAAATAACAGAGAGGGGTTGTCTGGGGGAAATAAGAAGCATGACTTGGTTAACAGGAAAATAAAAGAGGCTGCCTCAGAGGTCAGGTGCTGTCTTCTAGATTAGGATGTGAGTTATGCAGAGGGAAATCCTACAACATGGGCAGGGCAAGTGCAAAGCAGAAACTAGGTAGGGCAAAGAAAACTTGAAAAATGCCTCATTCTGATCCCCAAAATGAAGGCACCTGATCTGAAAAATGGAAAATTCTAAACAGTGCAGTCTTCCCAGGACTTCTCTCTATACCAATCTTATTTACATTTTAATAAATTATCTGGCAAGGACATGATACAGCAAAGTCTGCAGGTCTGCTGGTGACCCCAAGCTCTCAGGGAGAGCAAAATGTCAAACTGAAAAAGCTGAACTGGGAAAGCTCTCAAAGGGCTTTGCCAGAGGGCAGACAACTACAGATGACATTCATCCCTAGCAAGGTGAAAATCATTCAAACTATTATGAAAAGTTGATGAGCCCTAAGCAATTAGCTACAAGTCAGAAATCAGAACTATAAAAGGCTGAGAAACATGTCCTAGAGGGATTGATCTAATAGCTCTATGTAGCCGCAAGTCCAAGAAACTCTAAATATCATCACAAAGGGTGCATGTAGCAAAAGGAAACATCGTCCCATCTTACTTACAATCCCAAGCCATCCATATCTGGACTGCTGTGTGCAGATCTGCTTATCCCTCCCCAATAAAGACATATGAAAGCTAGAAGAGGTCCAAAGAGAGACAGCTAGAGTGATGATGAAGGGGTGTAGAAAGGCTTCTCTCTGAAGAGAAACCCATAAAACTACCCTTTTCCTCTAAAAAAACAATTTTTTTTTAAATGGAGCGGAATGACAAGTGGCTCCGGACTTAGCCAGACCTAAGCCTGAATTCTGTCCCCACCCCCTGACTAGCCAGGTAGCCTTGGACAAGATGGTCTTGGGTTGCAAGACCTCTGAACTGAGGCCCATAGAGCAGATAACATTGTACAACAATGTATGTGGAGTGCCTGGCACACAGCAAGAGAGGAAGGACATCATGTTGGCTAAGGCTTGGAGTCAGACCTTGTTTCAAATCCTAGGTCTGTAGATCACCAGCTTTGTGATTTGGTCAAAAGAATGTAAGGCTGCTTCTTAAAGCTTCAGGATTTAGGACTCTACCTGGCAGGCAAACAACACACCAAATTCTCTTGATGACCTAGGCTGCAGACAGACTGCCATCAACCAAACGAAAAGGCTCAGATAAACACATGGGTGGCCTCTGGAATATAATGAATTAGAAAACTAAGGGACTCGAAGGTTTGTCTTTAAGTCCAATTTGAGACTAGGGAAAAGGCAGGCACGTTAAATTAAATGTGGGCACTAACAGATGAGCGCTGTCAGAGGCATCATGGAGACTTGACTGGGACTCCACCTAACTCAGTGCAGCAGCTCATCCATTTTTACATCTGTTTTAGCTCCATGATTAATGCAACCTCAAATATACATTTTAGACAACCATTTAGCCATTCAGACAATATAACAGAGATAATTTCAAATTTAAGTTCATATGCTCCAAATGAAAACATTGGTAGTGCCCTGGTCGGTGAGGCTCAGTTGGATGAGCATCACCCCATGCACTGGGAAGTCGCTGGTTTGCTTCCTGGTCAGGGCATATGCCCAGGTTGTGGGTTCGATCCCCAACCAGGGTGCGTGTGGGAGGCAACTGATCAATATTTCTCTTTCACATCTATGTTTCTCTTTCTCTCTCTCTCTCTTTCTCTCTCCCTTCTTCTAACTCTAAAATCAATAAAAACATAATTTTTAAAAATTGTTTACACTTTAAAAAAATAAAAACATTGGTAGTGTTACTATTACTAATATTAGTGTAAAAATTAATAAATGTAAGATAAACTGCATGGAAATTTATAGTGAGAGATAACACAGCAGTGTGGCTAAGAGAGAGTGCTTTGTGTTTAAACCCCCACTGCTTCACTATGTGACCCAGGAAAGTTACTTAGCCTCTCTAAGCCTTTGCTTCCTCATCTCTAAAATGGGAAAAACAATAGAACCTACCTCACAAGCTTCAGTGCCTAGCACACAGTATTCAATAAATTTTAAATATTGCTTATTTCATTTTTATTGTTGGTGTCATTTCAGTATTATTATTACAGTTTACAACAAACTTTCACATACAGTAGCTTATGGCTATTATTAAATAATAGCACTAAGAAATACTTAATTACATCACATGTCAAATATATAGGAAGGGGTATGATTCCCACCATCCTTTGGCTCTTTCTGACAAGCCTTTGTAACAAGGCAATTCTCTGACTACTCTTTTAATGAGAATCATCTAAATTCTCATCCCATAAGCAATACTTTTCCTGTGCTTCTAGACTTTAGTTTATTTACTGTAAAAATATATAAATGAGTTAATTCTACAATTCTAAGATTCCCTTGAAATATAACATAAACCGATCCCAGTTAATGCAAAAAGTCATAATAAAAATGCTCCTTTTCATTACTATCATCATCTAGTTCAGGGTTCTTAACATGCAGTTCAATTATGCATATATTCTAAATTGAAAATCAACGTTATGTGCACATAGGTACTATAAACATTTTCTTTGGTTTGGAAAACTACTGCATTCATCATATTCCTCAAAAGGCTCCAAATGTGTGTGTTTTTAAATCATTCATTTGGATAGAGATCTTCCTAAAACATTTTAGATCGTTATAAAATTACAAATTTACAAACTGTAAAGGCTTTGGTTTCTCAAAGGAATATGCTCTGAATTCATGATTTTGTGCCAAAATGACCGAAATCCATAAAGGGACAGGATTCTGGATTAAGAACACAGAGACCTGTTCCCACAGAAATTCTCTGTATGGGTGACTTTGGGAAAATCACCTAAAATTTCTAGACTCAGTTCTATGACCTGGAAAACAACTGTGTTTTCATAAGTGGTTTCAGAGTTTTCTCTCCAGCTCTACGATCCTGTGACATAATATTCCATGACACATGCAAAATGAGACAAAAATTACTCAAGCCACTTACATCACTAATGAGTTCAGTGCATTTTCTGGCCAATTCCATGCTCAGGTCTTCAATAACAGGCTTAAAGAATACCTGTCCAGAAAAAAAAAAAAAAAAGGAAAGGAAACATATTTCTAATGGTCAGCTTAGAGGAACAACCACCCTCTTCAGCAGCTGCTCACCCTCTCACCTGGTCTTCACTTTCTTCTTCCTCCGTCTTTTCATCTTCAGTCTCATCTTTTGCAGCCTCGAATATAGGGACCCTCATTTTTATTCCCTCTCTCCCTCTCTCTATGTGTGTGTGTGTGTGTGTGTATGTGTATATATTGTTTTAATTTGCTAATGTAGCATCTGTTTATGTACTGCAGCACCCTTGAGATCTTAGCATCTCTAGTGTCCTGGCTGAAATGACCTTGCCCGGGCCTCCTCCCTATTTAGCTCGCACTCCACTCTCCTTATCACAACTGCGTGTGAGTGGATGGCACAGGATCCGGGAGGCCGACCAGGGCCGGCCACCCAAGAGGAAATAACATTTCAACAAGCAAAATGCAGTTTTATGAACATTTAAAGCCAGCATTCTTTTAACTGGTCAAGGAATTCAAAAAGGACAATTTATTTATATTTCACTGATCCGATTCATGCGTAAAAGAGTTTGAAAAAGACTTCAAGATTCTGGGAAACCACTCAGCTTTAACGCTCAAGATAGCACAGTCAAAAGCCTGTTATCTCAAAGAATTCCTCAACTCCTTCTAAATAAAGCTTTCACTAGAATGTCAGACATATCTTGGTTTGCTATAGTGAATCTGGATTATTCAAACTCATTTCATTAACCTAAGTTAAATTTTTTATGAGATATAAACGTACTTGTCACATTCTTAAAAGTACTTTATATTAGCTGATTAAAGGCTAGTAATTTATTTTGAAAAGCTCTTTGAACCCTTCAGAGAATCTATTCTGAGTTAATTGTAACTGTTAATCCTATATTGCTATTGTATTATTTTAATTGTAAACATCATTAAACCTGAGAATTCGAAGTTAACATAGGTTGGTATATCACTGAAGAATTCTAAAAACATCATTGTTTCAAAAAAATAACAGTCATTTCTTTCAATTCTACCTATTGTGTCAATTTTTACAAATTTGCTAGTTATTTGTATATTCTTCTTTGTGAACCACACACTCAGAAAAGTTTGGAAAAATAAACTATAACAATATTTATAACGTGGTATATGTCATTAGTTATATAATTAAAAATATATTTCTCAAAGCAAACCCTTTCATATCAATTTAGGCAAATCTAATATTCTATCCAACTCATAATTTATCAATTTGGTTTTTTAAATCCTAGAATAAGTTAATATTTATACAGCCATAGCAGATAAGCACTGGACAGTTAAAAATACCTTATGGTGAATAATTAAATTACATAAAATATAACTTTATTCAAAAAAAATACATCATTCTAAATAGCCAAGTATAATGTTGTTTTCTCTTGATATATCTAGTTTTAACCTTATTTTTTTAATGGCCTTGGCCTTGCCTAAACTAAAAATTCTGACGAGAAAAAGTTCTGCATGGTCATCATATATAAATATTTTCTCAAATTGTGTTCCATGAGGCTAAAGTTCCACAGAACACTCTGGAGGAAAAAAGGGGGTTTCTTAAACAAACATGTTTGGGGAAACCTGCATACTAATTTCTATCCCTGCCACTAGAGAGCCACACAGCATAATGACACATTAGAAGCTCTGAGAAGAACCATAATCAAGAAAAATATTTGTTCCCTGGCCAGCATGCTCAGTGGTTAGAGTGTCGGCCTGTGCACCAGAAGGTCTCGAGTTCTGTTCCCAGTCAAGGGCGTGCACCTGGGTTGCAGGTTCGATCCCCAACCCCCGGTCTGGGCACATGGGGGAGGTAATGGATCAATGTGTCTCTCTCATATCGATGTTTCTCTCTCTTCCCCTCCACCCTCTAAAAAATCAATGAAAAAATTATCCTCACTCCTTGGGTGAAGATTAACCAAAAAAAGACCCAAACAAAAGTACTTGTTTGCTTAACCCAGCATTTCCCAAACATGAAATCCTATCCATCTAATCTAAGCTTCTTACCTACCTACCTATTTTTTAATGTATCTGATACTCCAGAAAACTAACATTCTTCTGTGAAATAGTACTTAGGAAAACTCTGTTCTATTCTGAAAAAAAAATAATAATAATGTGATCTAGAAGAGTCATTGGTCTTTTCATGAAACAATTTTTGATACAGGCTAACTTAATTGGCATCACATATCCTGCTTATCAGCAAAATACCAAAAAGAAATGTCCCAAGGGTACTGAATTTGTAAAACTTAACTTTAAAATAACAGCCCTGTCGTGCCAGTGCAGAGAATTCTACACGAAAATTCTCCATACGTTAGAGAGCAGAATGTGTGGATCCCCTAAAGTCCTCTGCCAAAAGACTACACGATAGAAGACCTATTCCATTATCTTTGTTTGGAAACAGGGAAAAGGATTTTCTATAAGCTTTTCTTGTGAACTTCTAGAAGTATGGGGAGAAACTCTTGCCACAGCTGCCTAAGATGCATCTTTTGGCTAGTTTTTGAGGCGACAACACTTGCGTTGCTCATGGTGACATCTAGTCTCCATGGTGAATTACCTTTATCGGACTTCAACGGCTGCTTTTTCTCATTTGCCATCACGTAATAAGTTCTTATTGATTCTTCACCGTGCTGGAAGAGAATAATCTGTTGAGATTATACACAAACATTATGAAAGCAAAACCAAACACCATCTGTGAACATAAATTTTCCATTTGAGGTTTTAGAATCAAAATTTTAAAGCCAAGAGGATCCTTAAGAAATCAATCCCACTAAAGCCCTCTCTTTTACAGAGGACAAAACTATGGTCAAGAGAAATTAATTGTTAGTCTTATTCACAAAGTTATTCAACAGAGCACTAGGACCGGAATTTAACTAGAGCCCTATGTTCATGCATTCAAATAAGTGATGTTACGCCAGGCACCCTGCTTGGTGCTCGGGGTGCGGTGTGAGTAAAGCACACTTAGTGCTAAGACAAGGCAGGGACTAAGGAGCCCATCATTCAGGACTTGCTGGAGGAACTCCTTAATGGATGGTTTGGCGAGCTGGACACATTATTACTTTTGATTGAATGCAGTTTTCCTTTCGCCTATAGGTATAATACAAAATTCATGTCAAGTTTTCTCTAAAGCATTTTAAGCCCTGCACTTTATCACTGCAAAGCACTCTTGTCAATAGCTCCAAAATGTGACTTGGGGCCTAAGAAGAAAATGCTATTCGTGGATAGCTAGCACGTTTCAGTATTCCCTATCGTCTGCGTTTAAAAGCAAACAAAAGTGAAATATTGTACTTTAATACATATTTGCACCTTAGGGAGTCCCAAAGGGGAATTTCTGTATGGTTGCTAATCCCTGTTGCTTATGGAGCATTTCACTCTGTGTAATCCACTCTTTGCGTCAGTGCTCGGTCCATGCCCTGATTCAGAATGAGGATCACATTACCCACAGCCAGATCCCCCATTTCCAGGACTGGCTCTCTCACATCCCCTGGGGCAAATTATTTAATCACTCTCTGCCTCTAATTCTCCATAGTTAAAACAAGAAAAACTGAATTGCCAGAAGTTAATAAAAGCAAAGCGCCTTAAAAATAGTAAAAATCCTTACAAATACAAGAGTTTTCAACTATCCAATAAAAGTACACAGTTCCAGGAAGAGCACTTGATAGGAAGGGATCTTCTCATGGGAAACGGTAACACTCTATACCATCAATATGTTCTTAGAGGCCAGAGGGCCTCACACCGCATGGCTGAAGGTAAGAGCTAACTTGCCTGTTGTAACACAGAAAACTTTAATCTTTTTAGAATTTGATGTTTATGTGTAAGTAATAAATTTCCATAAAAAATGCAGAGTCCCGCCAGTCATTCAGATCTCGGGAACCCAGCCCTTGGCCAAGGAATCATGTCTATACGATCACAAGGCATGTAGCTTTGGGCTGTCTCCAGTGTTCTCACAAATGTTTCATATTTATTTCACTTTTTTCTCTTTTCTTTTCTTTACACTGACACAAAATGTGTTCCCCCCCAACATGATGATAAAGTAACTTGCAAATGAAAAGCCATAGTAAACAACTGAAATACATGGAGATTCAATTTTGAGTTGAGGAAAAGTTACAGAGATAAATTGAATTGGGGGGCAGGTGGAGGTGGAAGAGGGCATGGAGGGGATAAATGGTGATGGAAAAAAATTAAAGAAAAGGAAGGGGAAAAAAAGATGCTTTTATTCATTTCAACAACTCAGCCTTGCAGTAAAAGACAAGAAAGTAACTAATGTGAGCGAAAGCCCCGTATTTGCATTAGCATCAGTCAATGGAAGAAAACAACATAACCTATTTTTAATTATACTCAAGGTGTTTGTTCTATTAATCTGAAAATTAAACATGCAAAAATGAATTTCATTGATGAAATATAACTTTCCAGCATATTAGAAAAAGAAATAAAATTACTCTAGATATAAAAAAAAAATAATTTGACATTTCTTATTATAAAACCTTCACCCTAGGTTAGCTGAGAGAGGAATTAGTTCATCTGACTTGTTTCTCTGCCTTTGTAGTCTCACATACTCATTTTTAGTTGCCTGGGTGGTTTTTTTATTTTGTTTTGGGTTTGGTTTTGTTGTTGTTATGTTTTGTTTGTGGGTGTGTGTGTTTTTTATGACTCTCTCCCAGAAGGTTCTCAGCTGAATTCCTGGTTATTTTACTTTTGCTTCATGTATCTCCCCATCATTTGGCATCTGTCCAAATGAGAACTTTACTAATAGATGAGGGGGGAATCATTTCTTAAAACAAGAAATGTAAGCTCTCTCGGGCAATTTGTCTTCTTTATAAAAGAGTTCAGCTTAATATTAGCTCCATCTATTTTTACAATTTACATTCATTAAGCTTATCTTCTTTTTAATGGCTATTTCATTACGGTTTGTTAAGTAGAAATCAAAAGAACACAAAGCAACTTGAATAATTGTCACCCTTACCAATTATGCCATTAAAATAAGATTTAATAGAGTGTTCTTCTGCGTTCCTATTCCAGTTTTCACGAATAGAGAGCCTCCTCACAAATGAAGACCACACATCTAGACTGGGACTGGAGGAGTAAAACAAGGAACTGCAAATGATTTTTGACACAACAATTTCCAGGTTGGGTGTGGTTGGGATGCCAAAATTTAAAATATGTATTCTCCTAAATATACTGACAGTAAAAAAGTATTCTTATTCAGAGTCTACATTAACATAAGCACCCAGCAGACTGAAAGACATCGGTTTAATTTGCTACTTACTTAAGATATTAGTTCAGCTTTAATAACAATGAGGCTAAAACTACAATCACTTCCACAATCCTTTACACTAAGAGAAAGAAGCTCATGGTTTGAGTAGCCTCTATGTGGCCTGTAACCAGAACTAAAGGACCAGGCAGGATCAAGCAGCTTGGATATCCCCAAAAGCATCCCTTTTCTGGAGTTTTGTGTGAGATGGCAGGAAAAATTGTAAAAGACTTTGAAACTCACAGAAAAAAAGAATTAGAAAAGATTACCTGGCGTCTTATCTGGTGTTACCTTCTGGCTAATTTGGCCTTTCACTGTCTTTGAACTATTTTACAACCCCATAAATTGTTGAAAGCTGATAGCTATGCTAATGATGCTTTATCCACACAAATGCAAACTAATTGTTTCCTGGGGGATTGATTATTGCCTTATTGATAGGCCCTTTGGACATCTATTTGTAAATTCATTTCAGCATTCCTTATTATTCATTTATGTGTGGTTCTTCAAATTCACCTTTGAAACAATTGCAACATCTTACTGGTGCCCTCATTAATTAATGAGTTAAGATCTTTGAAGCATGTTCATTTTATGTTTTATGAGAAACAGGATTTCACCATTATTTTTTTTTTTTTTAATTCTTTCACAGATACAAATGAGTTCATTATCTTCACTTCTTTCCTTTAATGTTCAGCAAAAAAGAAAGAAAGAAGAAAGAAAGAAAGAAAGAAAGAAAGAAAGAAAGAAAGAAAGAAAGAAGGAAGGAAGGAAGGAAGGAAGGAAGGAAGGAAGGAAGGAAGGAAGGAAGGAAGAAAGAAAGAAAGAAAGAAAGAAAGAAAGAAAGAAAGAAAGAAAGAAAGAAAGAAAGAAAGAAAGAAAGAAAGCAAGCAAGCCCAATTGTCTCTATTGTAAACATAGCTGCAACAATTCTTGGTGTTTATTGCAATTAGCTTTTTGTTTTGTTTTGTTTTCAGGTCTGATCTCATTTGACTATTGGCAAATGCCACATGTGTGCTAGTGTATATGTACATTCACACACACACACATACACAGAACACACACACGCACTCAAGCAGAGTTAATTCACCACAGATGCCAGTTCCCTCTTGAAAAGCACACAAGGCTTCAGTAAATGCAAAGACTTAATTACTTCTCACATCTGGAAAACCTTAAATATGAGAGTGGATTTATTGAAGAAGCTCTTTGCTTGGCTGTCAACACCATATCAGAAGCCAGAGAGAGAGCAAGCTTGATCAGTGCTGGCAATCCTTTAACCCTTCAGAGAGAGATGTTCTACTAATTAATTCAGTACATGTCCTGCTTATATGATTTATGAATTTTATGAAAACACAGAAAACTGTGGGGGAATCATGTATTGAAAGTTGAAAATAATGACAAAGTCCTCTATTCAAGAAAAAAAAGGAAAGGCTATTGGGGTTGTAGAGCATATTGAATAAAGCCATTAGAACAATAACTTATGTAAATACACACAAAACTAGACAATTCAGCTCTTTATGGAGAAAGTGTAATAATGTTTCTAAAAGGGAAGTAGTTATATGAGCTAACTGCAAGAAGATTTAGGAGAAACAAATGGACAGATCTTCCCCTACAGAAGATCCTTAAGCCAGAATTAGGTAAAGTGATGGCATATAGGAAAGGCATCCAAAGAGCATTTTGTAAAGACCCAGAAACAAGAGTTGGAGGAGCTCAAAGTTCAATGTTACTGGTGTATTCAATGGAGAGAGATGAGGACAGCGGAGCATCAGCAGCTGATGACCTCAGGGAGAGCTTCATGAAGCCAGTGTGAACCATGAACTCTTTACAAATAACACAGTTTCCAGTCAATTAACTATGGAAACAGTGGTTCTACAGCTACTCTATCCCCTTCATATGCCTTGAGTTTAAGTTTTACTCCATTTTATCATTAGCCAATTGAAATACTCCTCATATATCTGTGCAAGCATTGTAATTAGCTAGCTATTAATAATAGCAAAAGGGGCCAGACATTGTAAACATGGCTATTGGGGCAGCTTCACCAGGAAGCTGCAATTTCACACTCCCCAGGAAGCCACCAGCCCATTCCTTGCAGGTCACTGGGGGAAGGGGTCCAACAATGGGGAAGATGGGCACATGTGCAATGAGCTGGGGTGACAGTGCCAGTCAGTCAAGCCTGGGAAACCATGGATTGGCTAGAGTAGGCAGGGCCATTGCAAGCCCACAAAAATTTGACTTTGCTCTTGCCCATGTTCCCTCCATAGTCATATGGCCCATGGCCATATGGACCTCATATGCAATGGACTGATGGACTGCAGCAAGAAACACAGACTAAGCTAGCCTGATGCTGGACTGGACTATGCCCTAACATGAAATGGAAACTCTGGA